TTTCTACTCATCAGAAATGACACGAAACATTATTTCTTTTAATGCATTGTTCAGAAAAGTTTTTAAATACTCTTTTGATAATGATATTGGTTCAAAATTTTCTTTCAAAAATGGTGTTTTTATGTTTAAAGCTTTACCTTGTAATGGAGTGTATGAAACTGTGATTTGTGTTGATAAATTAGGCAATAATGTGTTTTATATTAATCCGGTCAATGGTGTAGACAAGGCATGTTTATCGCATTGTCGTCTTCGGTACATAAATAAGAAACACATCGCCCAACTCCAAAAGGACGGAGTGCTGGAATCATTTGCTCTTAGGACAGATGATGAATGTGAATCGTGTCTCTTGGGCAAGATGAAAAAATAAACTTTCACTAGAACATGTGAAAGAGGTGAAGGGTTATTAGACCTCATCCATACAGATGTATGTGGCCCATTCAGATCCACCATGAAAGATGCTAATTGATATTACATGACATTTATGGATGATTATAGCAAATGTGGTTATATATATTTAATCAAACATAAATCGGAAACGTTTGAAAGGTTTAAAGAATTTAAGCACGAAGTTGAGAGTCAATTAGGCAGGAAGATAAAGATGCTCAGATCTGACAGAGGTGGTGAGTATCTTAGTATCGAGTTCCACAACTATCTCAAGAAATGTGGAATTGTTTCACAATTAAATCCTCCCAGAACACCACAACTTAATGGTATGGCTAAGAGGTGTAATCGAACCTTACTAGATATGGTTCGTTCCATGATGATTCGAGCTTCTCTTCATACTCATTTCGGAGGGTATGCCTTAGAGACAGCCGCCCATATCATGAATCTTGTTCCAACAAAGAAGGTTGCCAAAACACCTCATGAGATGTGAATAGGGAAAGCCCCCTCTCTCGCACATATCAATGTCTAGGGTTGTGAAGAACTCGTAAGATGAGTGACTCATGACAAACTCGAACCCAGAGTCAAGAAGTGCTATTTCATTGGTTATCCACAAAAGTCCTTTGGATACTTGTTCTACATACCTAGTGAAATTTTGCTACTCCATCCTCTCTCCTCTTGTGTTCTTGTTTTTAGGGTTTAGGTACAAACCATTAGAGGCATCATCTCTTTGGTGCTAGTCATTCCACGCTTCACAACTACAAGGATTGGTGTGATTTGTTTGCAATAACAAATTAAAAGGTATGTAGTCTTAACCTTGCAATTTTTGAATTTCATTAGGGTGAAGGTAGTTTAGTTGTTCATTGTATTTTGCTATCAAGGTGTATGATATAGATCTTTTATTGGATGCATATACCCTATTAATTGTTAATTGTTTTCAGCATTGTACACTTTTTTTTTCTATAAAACCCAACACAAGTTTGAGCACCACCAGCAGCTAAGATATCCAAGAGCTTGATACCCGTTAAGAAAGGCATAAGAGTTACGATCATTGTAGAAGGGAATACGAAACAGTTAAGTTCGTAAACTGCGACCTTTAAACCCTTAGTTATAAAAAGATGACTTAGCTATAAAGAAACAATCCTTACCCGTGGGATCCAACCCTGTTTTGCTGATGATTCCGAGACGTAATGGTCCTAATGGGAGATAATTGTAACTCCCGTAAATCCGGGATAGACATTTAAGGTATAATAAGTAATAATTATTCCTCGTATGCTTTATGAGCGACACATAGTTGTTTTTAATAGAAGATTATTTTGGATAAATAGTCTTGATGAGAGTTGTAGTAGTCGTGATGATGATTTTGTGGGTATAGAAGGCTCAAATATGATTTCCTATGAAGAAGTTATGATTGTTCAAATTTTTGCGTTCAACCTTATATGATAAAGTACGTCGTAAAATACGAATCTGGGATAGGTTGCTTATTAGCATAAGTAATCTAAACGAAAGTCGTAATAGTCATAAAAACGAGAGTGTTTATATAAAGAATGCCTGAATTTGACTTTGTATACATAATTTATGATTTTCGAAGTTTCAGTATAACAGTGTGCGACACAAAAATCAAAACTTAGATCGGTTGAGTGTTAGCCAAAAAAATCTAAACAAGAGTTAAATATCTCGTAAATATGAACTTGTCGATATAAAGACAGCTGAGAACGAAGTTCGTATGAAAGAGTTATGATTTTCACACGGACTTTAACAATCTAATCTCTATTAAAATATGACTTCAAAATAGAGTGAGAATTAGTTGTTGAAACCTTAAGGAAATTTGTATAGCTCGTCAAAAGAATTTCATATAATCTCTATTAAAATATGAATTCAAAATAGAGTGAGAATTAGTTGTTGAAATGTTAAGGAAAGTTGTATAGCTCATCGAGAGAATTTCGGGGATATAAAGAACGTTGAAACTGGAGCTCGTATGTAAAAATTGTTGCCATTCAAAGATTTCAAGAAAACGCCTACTGTGATGGTGTGGCACCACTAAGAGGCGTCACGTGGTCGTGTCAGATAGCCGACTCCTCCGTGAGTCAAGGTGATGTGGCACCACGAGATTGGGACATGAAGCACAATAGATTGGTGACACGTGGCATCTTCTAGAAGGGGGCGAGGTGGACCACTGAGGCAATGACACAAGGTAGCCAAAGGGGCAACCGACGTTATCAATAGGCGCAATGCGCCCATTCGAATGTGTGGCTCCGCCTTTTATTTGCTATGAATATGTTGTGAATTACTCACTCATTCTTCACACATTTCTCATAGTCTCTCTGAATCTCTCTAATCTTTGGAGTCTGACTTTTCTGGAATTCTGAGTTTTTTAGTGGGGCCTTGAAGTAGCTAGGAGCCCGAAAAAAAGAAGCTTTCGGGTCAGAGTTCTGCCCGCAACTTTTCGAACTTTTGTAAAGAAACTCTATAAGTTCAGCTGCACTTATTTTATTTCAAGTGTAACTTATATTTATTTCATAATCGTTATTATAAATCTATTAATAAGATTTTGTTAGTTATTCCACGTCAAAATACTGATTGATCTACTTATAAGAGTGATGTCTAGGCTAGATCTAGTGAGATGTTTAAAGTGAGATTTCAAAATAGTATACTTTATATACCAAACGGACCCTACCTCCGATATGATATTACCTAGTTGTTTCTTACTTGATAGATCTTGATATAGACATTAGGATTGTTGAGGAATTTAGACTATCATTAGTCACAAGGAATATAAGACTAAGACATAGTGATATTTGTAGCTAGGTCTTTCAAAAGGAAAACTGACTATTCTAGGTAGTCAAGTAGAACACTAGCAGACTCATAACATGTAGGTGTTAATAAGCTATGCGTTCATTTGTTATGCTCCATCCCCCACATGGTTGCCTTATTGACACTTATTATTAACAGAATCCATGAAGAAATATTTTCTACTCATTGTTTACAAAAATCCTTTATGATAGGTCCCTTGAAATCATCATTTTAGGATCATGTAGTGAGCATAACGGGAATGGATAATTGGGATATTTGATTGCTATAAAATATATTTTAAAAGATTATAATATTGTAGGTTGAAAACTATATGTGCTCACCAGGCTCCCAAATCTGACTCACTCAGTTTCTTTGTATCATAGTTAATGATATGAAGGTTCAGGATTATGGATGTTTGAATCTGCTGAGAGATTTAAGGAGTTTTCGGCCATTAAATAAATCGATGTAAGGTCTGTAAAGACTAGTTTGTTACTTTGTGCTTATGTTTATATATCGGTTATGACATCTCAAGCTTTCGAATACGAATGATAATTGTTTCTTCGGAATTGTTTTTGATATTGATATCATTTCACATTAATAACATTTTGGGACAAATTCCGTACTAATAAAAGAATACTCTGTTTTAAACAACTTTCTAAATAACATAAGTTGTGACTTGGCAGCAATGTTAAGCCTCAAACTTTTTGTGTCGTGGTGAGACACATCGTTTGTAAAGCGTGATTTAAGGCGGAAATTTTGTATATAAGTAATATATATATATATATATATATATATATATATATATATATATATTCCATTATTATTCATTTTTATACATGTGTGACTTAAGACGATATTTTGCTAAAGTTTGACGATAAGTACAAGTCTTGGAACCATGACAGGTTTTTATAACATTTGTTTTAAATAAACATAAAGAAAAAGTTTTTAATTGGCCATAAAAATTAGGGATGTCACATCACCACTCCCACCGGTCTTAAAGGGACGATGGATCGTCGGGGCAATTGTGCTTAAGGAGCCATGAGCCACTAAAGTTGTCGAACCGAGGTTAGTTGTCGCTTCCAATGCTATCTCTTGGCTCTTGCTGACCAATTATTACATAAACTAATAATTATATTATGTTATATTTATCGTGTGTCGTGTCATGTTTATCATGTTTTAATCGATTCATTTTTGTGCTAATGAAAATAAATACAACATCATATCGTGTCGTGTTCGTGTTATATAAAACTTTATCATGCTCGACAAAAACATAACACGACTGTCTCATTTGGCACCCCTAATTTTAGGGTTGTTTGTAACAATTAGCAAACAATCTAAAACTGAGATGAAGATTGAAACAATTTATGACAAATAATACTCAAAACTAAGTCACTTTAAAACTAAATTAACATACACATTTAACCTTAACATGTTTAAAAAAAATGCATTCTAGTTAACAATGAAGCATTTGATGTAAAAAGTTTATGATCAAATATATTGATTACCTCTATTGGTATCCACACAACACACAAGGAACCATATTGGATTAGACTTGGCAATTCGTATATGCATGTGGCGTATATGGGTCAAATTCACATTAATTTAGTATAATATAAATGTGCTTATGAAACTTTATGACGATGGGAACAACGATTTATTAAATATTACCTCTATGCTCTCATGAGACATTAGTTGTATGTTGTATTTTCGTGGCATTATATGAGAATAATCAAAGCTAAAACAAAATCGAACCACATGGATCAAAAACAACAACAAAATTCGTTTGTAGACCATATCGAAAACAAAGGTTATAAGCTTATAACACACCAAACTTGTAATTTATACTCTCTTATAATACAAGCCTTCAAATATTAGTCTCAAATATAACTTCCTAAAAGAAAAACTAACCCAAAATACATTCCGTATACCTGCAATTAATTCTCTCTTAGTTTAACTTTCAGCCATATATGTACATGATAAGGGCATGCAACAGATTCATATAAATCAAAAACAAAAACAAAACCAAAAGAACAACATTTTAATTAGGAAGATGAACTACTATGCTCATCGGAGTCCCTACTAGCATGCCTCTTGTTTCTCCTAACCATTTCCTTGATCTCCGCCTCTTTTCTATCATAAAAATCAACCAAATCCTTAAAGCTGATGGCGCGAAGGGATCGTCTGCCAGTGCGTGGTGTTTGTGAGGCTGGGTCCACAATCTCATGATCATTAGCTTCTTCATCATGAGGAATAAACCGAAGGTATTGACACAATATTCTGAAAAAGAAGATGCTAAGAGAAATGAAGCATGCAACACCACATATCAAAAACAGGCCCCAGAAGTTGTTAAGAGAGAGGCTACTGGTCTCTTCCACTTGGGTAGTTTGAGATGAACATGAAGCTAAAGATAGCCATTTGTCATGAATTCTTTGTAAGTCTCCATTTTCTGAAAGTTGAAGGATGGCTGTTGATAAATCCACTGCTAGAGGAGAGTCTCTCTGGAATGCCTGTTGTGCAATTTGAATTTCTTCAAATCAATCTTTCAACTTTGAAATTGATATGAAATTTTAAAGCGTAGTAAAAGTAACTTACAAAACCCCAACCACTTTTAGTAAACTCTTCACCAACGATCCTGAACTCGCACTTAGTATACCTCATGAAGAGCTCAATATAAGGAAGCTCATCAACAATGGCAGCCACACCACCAGCTTTTGGACCTAAACGAAGTGCATTTACATATTCGACCTCATCTCTCAATGGTTTGATCCTAGACTCCAAAATGTTAAGATCCCGAATCAAATAATTATAGGCAAAAGTTCCATCTTGAACTCCAATCGGATCATTGCTTGAGATCAAACTATCAATCCCTTCAATCCGTGAGGTTAATTGTTGTACTGTGAGGATTGATGTCAAGCTCGCGGTGTAACTTGAGTTTATAATCAACACCACAAATAGCCACAAGATTAGTACGATTCGTCCCATTGTGCTCACAGTGTTCTCTCCTTCATACGCATGTGAAAAATTTTAGTTGTCTATAATTTCACTCAAAGAATCAAGATTTATCATTTATACTTACTGTGTGAAAAAAACATCGTTGAGAAACTAAACCTGAAAATTTTCAAGAAAAAACAGTGTTTGTCATATTCTTAAACCACCACAAGAGTAATAACTTTTGCAATTACTCCTCACACCAACATAGTGTCAACACTCTTTTTCTCATTTGATGACACTTTAACATATAACAACTACTTTATTTTTTATCTTAATTATTTATAATCAATAATATTAATACGAATATAATTATTTATTAAAATACATATAATTAAACAATAACAAATGTTATTGTGTGTTACTATTAATTTCTTTTATAATGTAGAAGTTAGTTAAATAGTTTTAATAAAATAGAAAATCAAATACTTTAATATATAATATATTTATATAACAAGGACCGATATAATAAATAAACTAATAATTAAATGAATTCATAAAATAACAAAAAAATGATTTTTTTTTTTTAATTGTTATATAAGACCAAAAACGTGACATGACATTGCAACGATATTTCAAGATTTGAAAGATGAGATGAGTTGGCATTGCAATTATCTTTCTAGGCTATTTTCCATGATATGAAGAGAAAAACCACGTCTTATTGCAAAGATGAAGTGTCCTACATTGTTCATCTTTATGGTAGAACAAACTAGTGACGTCAACTTGTCACGTAATGTAATATAATATAATGTCGTGTCATGGGATGACATATCATGCATGTTTGATGAGATACTAACCAGAAGATTGTGATGATTTGTTGCCTTGGAGGTCCACGAAATTCATGGTTTAACCGATGCTCAAGGGTCCAAACAACAATTCCAACAAAAAGAAAGAATCCACCGGTGACAAGCCACATTTCAATTGTGAATGGCTTGAGAAAAGCCCATGGTTGTGCTTTTGCTTCTTTGACTGCAACAACTATCACAAGCCCCGATTCCATGTACGGCTGTGTAAAGTCAACTATCCTTGTTCGGTTTGTAGTAATAGTAACATCTCCAACTGCTGCATCGTATGTCTGAGAATCAAGATAATGTTATTATACTCTTACACTTTTGACTTTTAAAGAAAAAATTATGTTTTCCAAAACCTAAAATTTAAGATGTCATTATCATAAATTTAAAACAATTATTTTCCAGAATCGCAATTCTTGTTACAAGATGTAAAAAACTGTTCGGAAATATCAAAGATTTTGAATCAAGTTTTAATATTTATTTTTTATTGATTGACCTCAAAAAAGTCAAACTGTATGACATCCCACAGAAAAACACAAATAACAATGAACACAATGCAAAATATTACAACATAGTTCCATTGATTTTTTTATTATACCATCCTACTTTCATTTTCTTAAAAAGTCTACCAAATTATATCAAAATTTTTCACTGTTTTAACTGAATAGATTTTCAAAACATAATTTTTTTAATAATAAGAAAAATTGAAAGTACAAAGTAAGATATGAAAGTAAGACGATATAATATAAATGAAAGTACTTGTTATTTATTAGATTTAACATTTTAAAATTTAATAAAGTACTTACGTTTTGAGCAACAGAGTTCACAAGATTGGTGTAGCTAGGGTTTCTTCGACCATCTCCATATAAAAAGTATTTCCGAGGGACAGGGTAAGGAAGTAAATTCACAGCAGCTTCAAAGACATCAATACAATACCCTCTTACACCTTCTGGAGACTTATCTTTCGTCACAACTTCTTTATAACTATACCTATACGGCACTGCAACTCTTAACGGTGTCCCGTTGTTCGGAAAAACCCATCCCCGCGGCGGTTTGGTCGTCTCTCCGGACCAAATCACGCTGTAAAGACGTTCATCGGCCGGAGAATGATTTGAAGGCTTCGCATACAGCGATTCAGGAACGGCAACCGAGAGACCAGAATGGTTCGACCAATATCCGATGATCCGTACACCGGTTCCGACGATGTTCACGATGTCATACGCCGGATGAATCAAGTTCTTGTCCTCGTTAAACTTCACCTCGCCGGTCAAACCCACGAAGGTTGTGGTCAGAATCGTTTCGAGAAGCTTCTCTCCTTCGTTGAAGATCCGAAGTTCGGATAACCGGAGCTCACTTCTGTTGGTGTTCCGAAGCTTAGGATCGTATGAAAATGTGATACTGTTACCAGATTTCAAGAATTTATCAAGAGCATGTGCGAGTAGCCATACGGAATCGTAAGCGTAGAGAGCGTATGAATTGAAGCTAGATGTCTCTTTCTCTTTGATGTTCTTCCATTTCTTTCCAAAAGATTTCTTCATATCAGAACTAGACGTATGTTGGCGTAACGACACAACCCCTTGAATGAGATTCATCGTGTCAGGATCCGGCAACTCCGACGAATCCAAAACCGCCGGAAGCCAATCGGTGGTAATCCAAACGTAACCACTCGTCATCATGCCGAGCTTTTTTGCAACGGCGAAAATCTCTAGACCGGAGTCGGGATTCACGTGAACGACATAAACCCTAGACTCCCTCAAGTTGACTCCGATCAGTAGTTCAGTTATTTCTCTTTCCGATGCACCTGAAGTAAACGAAGCTTTGTAAGCAATCTTGGCACGTTTCTTGGAAAGGGCGTCGCTCAAGGCAGAAATTCCGTTTCTGCCGTAATCGTCGTCGACAAATATTGCGATGACTTCTTTCCAGTCGAAATGTAGAACGAAATCGGTTATGGCGGACATTTGGTGGTAGTCGTTTTGTGTGGTGCGGATGAAATACGGGTATTCGAAAGCTGAAAGAGTCGGATCGGTTGCACCGAATGAGAGAAGTGGTACGTGAAGTTCGTTGACGACGTGGGAAATTACGTGGGCTATGCCGGAGGATTGTGGTCCGATAGCAGCCACCACATCGTTTTCCATCAGTTGTAAAGCTCCAATGGTGCCGAGAAATCCACTGCAATTAGTGTCATGCATAATAAGATTCAATCGAGTTCCTACAAGAATACTTGGACTCGAATTGACGTCATCAATGGCAGCTGCAATAGCAGGCTTCACGGAACGCCCAATAACCGAATTCACAGTGAACAAAGCTCCAACATTTACAACACTATGTATTCTTGAAGATGATGAAGTTGTATTTCCAGTTTTACCCTTGACCACAACCACCATCATCCACATGCCAAAAACCAAGAAAATCACCATTGGTTTCATTATTAACACATCAATTTCCAGTTTTGGAAAAACCCTTTTGGAATGCGAATCAATTAAACTTCATCACCCCTTATTGAAGAAGAAGAAGAAGGAGAAGAAGAATAAGAAAAGCACCCGAGCATCGTTTTGAAGCACAAGACTTTAGCTTTGGGCAAAGAATCAAGATTTTCAAGAACAATAAACCTAATGGCTAACTACAAGATTATCATATGGATTCAATGTTTTCGAGACAATGTTGCAACTTGCACTGATATATACGTGTAGCCACATGGGAAATCAGTAAATATCTTTAATTTCAGTCAAAAAGAAGTCAAGAACAAAGATACTAATATATAAACTTACAGAAACAATCATTAATTATTAAACAGGGAAGAAAAGAGTTTGGGGAAGTCACATAAACTATGAATTAATGATGAGAAGATGACGTGTAGAGAGAACAAAATAACTTTAATCTTTTATCCGTGGAATGTGCCCACTGTAAAGTGTAAACACTATAAATACAATATAAGATAGAATCTTGGTTTTGTCTTTTTTGTGATGGGCAATTGGGAATGGGCCGACTGGCCGACTGCTGAGGTGAGTAGAGTGTAGAGAAGCTAAAAGAAGCGTACAAGACAGTCGTGTGTTATTGGCAAAGAATTATTCCTTCTTTTTGCCTATTGTGGCAGAATTCTACCCACATGTCAATATGAACTTTACCTTTGGTCGTGTTTAGCATGTTGATGAGCTTGTAGTAGAAATTTAATTTTTAGCGTAAAGGTGGCGATCTATTTAACAACATAACAAAAATATATTACATAAAACTAAACTGAGATGAAAATGCAATTCGAACTTGTGCTCGTGTCAACAGGTGAATAATAATAATAATAATAATAATAATAATAATAATAATAATAATAATACGACGTCGTGTCGTGTTATTCATTTTCAAGATTCGATATTATACCATTGACTAGTGGCGGATGCAACATGTTACGAGTGGGGTCTGAAAGTGGATCCCACCATTATGTTATTAAAAACAATCTTTAAAAAATTTATTTTTGCTGAAACACACCTTTATGACACCCATTTTTACATAAAAAGTCTAATCTTAAAATATTTTTGCTGCAGAAACCTGCAGATTCCTAAAAAATTTAGAGTTTTATTTCTCTATAAGTTTTTTTTTTATGTATAACGGACCTCCCTTTACTTTAATCTTGGATCCGTCACTGCTACTGACATGATATTGACAGGTTCTTGATTTTGTTTTTCTTGTTTATCATGTCTGTCATGTTTTATAAGATTAATTTTGATTTAAATAAACTAAAATTTTATTTTATTTTATCGTTTTCGTGTTTGCCGTTTTTATCGTGTTAGTAAAATAAAACACGACATCGTGTTGTGCAATGCTTGTGTTATATAAAAATATTAAGTTGTGTCATGTAAGTTAAAAACACGACATGTAAGTTGTGTCAGGTATAATTCACAATAGTAAAGCCATTATGTTAAGTTTTTCATCTCAACTCAACAAAATATCATGACTACCAACAAAATAAAGGATGCAAATGACAAGATATATCCTATTGCTTTGATGTTTTCTTAAAGGTGCTTGTAAGGGAGAATTGCTTTGTGCTATTGGGAAGGATGCAAATGACAAGATATATCCTATTGCTTGGGCAGTGGTTAATGTGGAGAACAAGTAGAAGTGGAAGTGGTTTCTAGAGCTTCTCATTGATGACCTACACTTGAATTTAGGCAATGGTTTCAGTTTAATGTCAGACCAACATAAGGTTAGTATTTTACATAGTAATGCATTTATGTTAATTTTACACTATCTGAATTAAACCTTTTTACTACTACAGGGTTTGATAGAGACTGTTAAAGAGTTGCTGTCATATGTAGAGCACAGGCAATGTGCTAGACATATTTGCCATAATTTGCAGAAGAGATTTACTGGTACCATATATCATACCTTGTTTTGGAGAGCATCTAAAGCCACAACTGAGCATGCTTTTAACGTTGTGATAAAAGAAATTGAGATATTGAACCTAGATGCCCATCAATATCTCATGGAGAAAGATCCTAACACAAGGTCAAGCGCTTTCTTTCAAACTGGAAGGTGTGGTGATGCAGTTGAAAATGGGTTCTCAGAAAGTTTTAATGTTGTAATAGTAGATGCCAGGAAGAAGCCCATAATAACCATGTTAGAGGAGATAAGATTATACATGATGGACAGAATCTACAACATGAAATTAAAGGGACAACAATGGGGAAATCATATTTTTCCAGAGATAAGGGATAAGGTGAATTTGCTTAAAAAAGCTCAAAGGCATTATCAAGTACTAACAAGTGGATTAAACCAGTTTGAGGTAAGGGGAGCAATATATGCATATGAGGTGGACTTAGAAAGGAAAACATGCTCATGTAGGTTGTGGCAATTGAATGGATATGGATGTGCTCATTCTGTAGCTAGCATATCCTTTCTTAATAGGGATGTAGAAGCCTATGTAGACAACATGTTTAGCACAACCACATTTAGGAAGGCATACATTGCAGAATTTCTCCTATGAATAGCAGTGACATGTGGCCAGAGACAAACTATACTCCACCATTGCCTCCTATTAATAGAAGGATGCCTGGTAGGCCAACTACTAAGAGGAAGAAATCCACTATAGAGAATACAGGAACACACAGGGTATCTAAGGCTGGAAAGAAAATCAAATGTAGTATTTGCAAGGAGATAGGTCACAACAAGGCCACTTGTCCACAGAGAAGGCCCTAAAAGTTAAATGTGAAGAAACAAAAAGTATGTGTGAAGCAAAATGCAGAACAGGTAAAACAATTTAAAATATAAGATTAATTACATATAATTTGTTACTAACATAATTATATCATGACATGTAGGGTAGTACAAGTGAACCACAACAACATGAAGAGGTTGAAATGACTCTAATTGAGATGGATACTACTCAAAATGATATGCAAGTTTCTCCTACTGATGTTGAATCTAGTAGTGCAGGGGATTTTAGTCATTATATGCAATTTACTCCACCTAGATGTTATGAAAGTGATGAGGGTGTTATGGGTGAGGAAGCTGATGTGGTTGAGGAAGTTGTTGTGGTTGAGCGAGCTGTTCAAGATGAGGAGGATGAGAAGGTTGATCCTGTTATCCAAGTTGATAATGTAAATGTTCAGGAGGTTGATAAGGTTAATCCTAATGCCCAAGTTGATAATGGTAATGTTCAGGAGGTTGCTCCTGTAAGTCAAGTTCAACAGGTTAGTGTTAGGCCAATTTCAGAAATTTTGAAGAGGATAAGGAGAAGAAAGTCAGAGAGAATATTGAAGCTGAAATTAGGCAAAACAATTGGTGGTGTTGATGATCCAGGAAATTCGAAGGGAAAAGCTCTTGTAATTGATTAGTGTTTATTGTAATTTTTGTTTAAAGTTTATGTAATGGGATGATGGTAAATTGGATTTAAAGTTTATGTAATAGGATGATGGTAATTTATATTTAAAGTTTATGTAATAGGATGTTGGTAATTTATATTTAAGTATGTATGACATTAAATGGTATTTTAGTCATTTAAGTATGTATGAAAGAAAAGGGTGTTTTGGTCATTTAAGTATGTATGAAAGAAAAAGGGTATTTTGGTCATTTAAGTACGTATAAAAAAAGGGTATTTTGGTCATTTAAGAATGTATGAAAGAAAAAGGGTATTTTGGTCATTTAAGTATTTATGAAAGAAAAAGGGTATGTTGGTCATTTATTTATTTATGACATATAAGGATATGTAGGTCATTCATTTATGTATGCAAGAAAAAGGTAATTTGGTCATTTAAGTATGTATGACAGAAAAGTGTATTTTGGTCATTTAAGTATGTATGACAAAAAAAGGTATGTTGGTCATTTATTTATGTATGACCGAAAAGGGTATGTTGGTCATTTATTTATGTATGACATGAAGTATGAAAGTATGTTACCATTTTAAGTAAATTCATGACATTTGGCTTTGAATATTTATGCATGGAAAAATTGGAATAATGTGCATGCATGGGGATGTTTTATATGGTCCCGGATATGGTTTTTTAATGGCTTCACAAGTCACATTTTTTCATTATTAAAACACTACAAATGGTCCCCATACACATAATGTACTTCCACATGGACCACTCCCTAATTTGTTCCCAAATTTAAAACATGCACAACAACCAATCTAATTAAATATATCTGTTAGGAATATAGACTATGCATATGTTTGATAAACATCATCTGATTATACAAACTGCCCTACAATTGGGACTTTGAATATTTTTTTTACATTACTTATCATATTCCCTTTCATTAGGGACTTACCACCTTACAACATCAACACATTAAGGTTGATAACCCCAACTTATAACTAAAACCAGCTTCAATACATACAAAATGCCCATAATTACTGACTTTCTAGTCTGCCTTTACAAAAAATACAAGGGATCCCAAAAAAACAAAAGCTTACACTAACCAACCAAACTAACTACATTGACGCCCCTAACTTCAAAACACATAGGGCCAAGCAAGCAAACAGCATGGAAACCATCATCCTGTACCTGCCTATTGCCTTCCTTGCATCATGAACTTCTTTCTCACTCTTTGCAACCTTATACTACTCATGTAACAGCAGAAACTCAACTTCAGCAATCCTTCTCCTCAATTTGTTCATCTCAGACAGTTCATCTTTGGCATCCAGTTTCTGCTTCAGAGAGTATAACAGGTTTTTGTAGTACCCGTCTGCCTGTTCTTCATCTTTCCATTCAAAGAAGCTACATTTCCTCAACCTAGTCTGAAAAAAGCCAATAAAATTAGGGTTTAACTGACAATCACAAATCAACTACCTTTAATGTACCAGCGAAATGGGTTTTATTCACAATGATCGTCAAGAAGCAAATAAAATTAGGGTTTTTAACAGATGAAACAAAATACAAATACACCATTATCGTCTTTACAGAAAGAAACAACACATCAAACCATAAAATACTAACTTATCAAAATCAAGAGTATCGGGACCTACCATACTTTTTTGACAATTCCAGAATCGCCTCCCAGGGTTTGTTATCTTCCAACAGGTTCGTTCTTTAGCTGGAACGCCACAATCACAAACCTTTATGTAACGCCTGTGTTTCCGGGCTTGCCATTTTTAGCAATGTAATGGTCTAGGTTAACCTTTGTAACCCGTTTTGAAATAATAAGATTGTATTATTTGACTATTATGTGTTTTGTGTTTAATTGCTTAATTATGTGGTTTGATTAATTAAGAATAAAAATAAGCGTCAAAATTTAAGTGTAAAATAAACTTGATATCTTTAGATAATGTTATAGTAGTTGAAACAAGGTTTCCGAAGATATAAAGAATGTCGAAATCCGAGTTATAACGAGGAAGTTATGACCTGTCGAAGTTTCGCGACAGAACCGGCACGACACAGCGCGACGTAAAAAGTGAATTTACGTTAGAGCGATATTTAGCCTTAGCAATCTAAATGAAAGTCGTAGAGTACGTCAAACCATGAGCGTGCATAAAAAGAACGCCCAAATCGGACTTCGTATAAGGAAGTTATGATTTTTCGAAGTTTCGACTTAGCAGTATGCAGCCCGAATGCTCGATTTGAGACCGAGCGGTTTTTAGCCGAAACAATCTAAACGAGAATCGAAGATCTCGTTGTTAGTATCAAAGCGATAAAAAGTTAGGCGAGAACAGACGTCAAACGAAGAAGTTATGAATTTATAACGAAATTTTCTGTCCCGGTCTATTAAAAATAAATAATAAAAATAAATTCAAAATTAGCCGACGGAGTCTAAACGAAAGTTGTAGAGCGTAGTCTCACCTTTCCGTGGATATAAAAACGTCGAAAACGGAGTTCGTATGAAGAAGATATGAATTTCCGAAGTTTGATAAATAATTTGTATTTATTTTTAAATCAAAAATCCGGCATTATCCGAAGGGGGAGTCACAGATCTGATCCGAGGTACGCGCCGCGTACTCGAGTACGCCCCACGTACAACCAAAGTGTCGACACTTCGGATGACGCATGCGATGACGCATTTCGGAAGCAGTACGCGCTGCGTACTGCTGTACGCCCCGCGTACGAGGGGTTCCAGCCTCCTATAAATAGGATGCGAGGGGTCCGGGTTTATTTGCTAATTTCCTCTCGTTTTTGTGCCGAAGCTCTGCGTTTTTACCCCCGAAGCCATCCCGAAGCCCCGGTAATATTCCCGAGTCCCAAAGCGAGTCCCGAGATCCCAAAGATCCCGAGAAGTGCGGTTTCCGAGCCGAAGCTCTGCCCGCAAGAAGTTCGATTTTCGTAGAGATCTTCCAGATCTGCGGAGGATTATTACTTTTGCGAGTCGTAGTGCTGTCCGATCATCTTCTGATCAAGTGAGTGTATACTACCTTTCATAAACGCAATAATAATACAAGTATGATTTGAATGTATTAAGTTTATTGTCGTTTATACGTGTGAATGCGTTGTTACTTTCTCCTAACGTATAACTATGAAGTATTTTATACAAGATACGTGTTATGTGTATATTTTGTTGTTATGTGTGTGAATGTATATTCACTTTCTTCTATCTTACAGATCTGATTATTTCTATATGAAATACGTGTTATGTGTGTGTGCCTCATCTGTTATATGGAAAATGTATTGATCAAGCATACTATACAAGTTTTGAAAATATGTATAAAAATGTATGTTTTTATCTACTAATATGTTGGGTAGAACATGGGTAGATAGTTGGTGTGTAATAAACAGATGAGAGGCCTCGTTGTTGTTTTGATCCAGTCATCTAGCGGAATTTAGATGACGACCACGGACTTTTCTAGATAGTCCAGTGGAACGCTAGCAGGCTCATAACCTGTAGGTGTTAATGAACTTGGGTGTTCATTCGCTGTATTCCATCCCCCTCATGGTTGCCTTATTTGACTTATATTGCTGAGGAAACCCCGCAGCATGTGTTGTTACCCCGATGAAAATCTTCTTAGATTAGGTCCCTTGTGTTAGTTATTTTAGGGACGTAAAGTGAGAATAACGGGAATGGGTAACTGGGTTATTGTTGGTTGATAATAATTAATTTAATTATTTATTGTGGGTTGAAAACCCTATATGCTCACCAGGCTCCCAAGCCTGACCCACTTAGTTTTATTTGTATTACAGGAAGTAGCGCAAGGGCGTAAGATGGATGAACCATCAAGTTGTTTTGTTTACAAGTCTGTATATGTAAATATTTGTTGAATGACTTGTAATGTTATCGTTTATGCTTGTTGGTCTATATCGGAACATGACACCCCGAGTTTTGATTATATAATGAAAAATACATTTCTTTTATGAAATGCTTTGGTAAACATTGTTTTATCATGTTTTGTTTTTGGGAACAAATTCCGCAACTCTTTCAAATCAAAAGGATTTACTCTGAATTTATTTTAAAAGCATAAATGAAAATCGGTCTTTTCTGGCCGAGATTTTGGGGATGTCACACTTTACCCCTTGTTGCGACTGAACATGAGTGACTTGTAGCTGATTCCTTGACGTCTATGAGCTCGAAGACATTCTTATTTAGGATGGAAATAGTTAGGGAGGGAGAAGTCTTTGACTTTTCAGAGAAAGGTAAGTAAAGATTTAAAGGAGGTCCGAATGAGGGTTTGAATTAATAAGCCTATATCGACAATTGGACTACTTCGACACATAAGCTTCCCACGTAAGCTTATTGGACACATCAGCGGCCACATAAGCATTGTAACCGGGAAACCTTCTAAAATGGTGTAATTAAAAGGTCAATTACGAGTTTACTAGTCTAATGTACCAAAAAAAACTTTAAGGACCATATTAGCCAAATATAAAAAGTTCCATATGCTACAGTGATATTATCCCTGCTATTAAAAGATATCCACAACTTTTTTAATTTTAATATTATTTATGTTTTGCTACTCATTGATAATTTAATTTAATATTATATGTAGGTGGTATTTGACAAAATATATATGTATGTGTGTAAACGAATGTTTAGACAACAAATATGACGTTAACATGCAAATCAACATTTTTTTTTTCAATTTCAACTATGTATGTAATAATGTTGCTAAAAAAAATAAGGATAAAATTGTAATGTTCTTATTTAGCTTTCTTTTCCTTCGAACTCGAGAACATATTTTTTAAAAAACTTCATTTCCTTTCCTTCGGACTTAGGAATATGAAAAAGTTAATCACTTGCTTCCCCTCATTTTCTTTTCTCTCCATATTTTACTTCCCTTTCTTTTCTTTGGTTTAATGAAACTTAATTAAACTCGGTAACAAGATCTTAAAGTCACAAATGAGATAATCAAAGCACACGTGTGAAAGGGCAAAAGCGATATTTGGATCCTGTAGGAGGGTTACATACGTCTTTA